AAATATGTAGCCAAAGACCATCAAAGAGATACCATTTTATGAAAGCTTTATACCTCATACGCAGAGACAAAGGATATTGTTTCTATTTCTTGCCTGAAATATTGTGCCTTAAAGTAGCAGGCCAAAGGAAAAATGCCAAAAGAAATGTATAATGAAGTCTCAAAATTATGCAGAAATTATTTGTAAAACATGCATGTGGAGGTTAAGAAGTTTCTATTCCATAGAACCTTGAGTTATTAAAGAGCAGATGGGCTATAATGGCAGTCAGGGTTTTCCTAAAATATGCTGTTAGCACTATGGAAAGGACTCTGCAAAAGGCAGGTGATCTGGAGTGCTTGATCTACTCCTACAACATCAAATTATAAACCAGCATTCTCTAACTTTTACTTTCATTTAGCTTTCCTTTGACAGAGAAAACAGACTNTATCTTGCTAATTGGACCTGGAAAGACAAAGCCCCACAGAATAACACAGATTATGATTAGCAAACTGTGGACTCTGAAAGACACTGGAGAAGGAAAACAAGTGGTGTTATTGCTGTTTCTCCTACTTTCCCAGTTGGTTTCATTCTGAGCCTCCTTTAGAATTTATCTGATTGATTTTGTTTTGGTGCCATGAGATACATAGATCAAGAGGTTCCGTTTTTTTCCCATTTAGTGGGCCACGTAGGGCCTTGGAGTTTTATTTTCCTGGATTCTCTCGAGTTCGGACCAAAGGCTAAAAACAGCTAAAGCCCAGGAGAACAAGCCAGTTTAAAAACTACCCTTAGTCAAGTTGTCTCAGGAAAGAAAGAGTCCCAGTAGATATGAAGATTTTAAAGATTCTTTTATTTTTAAAGTCTATAAATAATGGATTTCCAGCTTTTAGTGCTTTAACCTCTGTTACTAAAAGCCCCTAGGCTTTAAGTATAATCATTAATCTTTCCTTCATTACTCAAGATAAGATCTTCCCCCCCCTTAAAATTATTGTTAAATTATGTAAAAGATCAAACATATGAAATGGTTCAGAGAATAGATAACAAACAGTCATAAAAACTACCATCTGGATTTAATGAATATTAACATTTTGCCATGTTTGCTTAGAACTTCTTTCTTTAAAAGATAAAATGTTGCAGATACAGTTGAAGTTCCCTTGGGCTCTGTCCTCACTCCAGTTCCCCTGCTCCACCCTCCAATTCCGTAGAGATAACTTCTGTTCTGAGTGGTGTGGTTCCTTCCCACCCATGCCTCTGTACTTTTATTTTATTTATGTGTGTCCACAAGTATATATGCAATTGTTTCTTGTAAGTTCAAGTGTGTGCCAATGGCATCATATTATACTTAGGCGACCACTTGCTTATTTATTTTAGCATATTAGTTTGGGATATGTACATATAGATGGAATTCATATATTTCAAGTACTATATAGCATTCCATTTTATATATATATATCATGATTTGTCTGTTTCCTCATTGATGGGCATTTTGGTTGTTTACAAAATTTTGCTATTATAAACATTACGTGATGAACATCTTTGAATATGGCTTCTTTTGCATGGGTTGGAAGATTTTCCCCTGGCAAATACCTAGGAGTGGATTCCTGGGAGGTACAATATCTTGAACTCTACTGGTGGTTGCCAGGTACCATCAAATTGGCTTATGAGGCTTCTCACCAACACTTACTGTTAGACTTCTCATCTCTTGCTAATCTGATTGATAGAGAGTTGATCTTTGTATTGCTTTACCAAAACAAATTTAGCCTAAGGGAGTCAAAACACCATCCTTTAAAATTTTAGAAAATAAATGCTCAAATTCATTCATTTGATAAATATTTATGGAGTTCTTGCTAAGGGCCAGACACCATTCTAGACAGTGCTACAGGGCTAACAGATGGGACACACATTTCAGTCCTCATGGAGCTTATATTATAGGGGAGAGACAAACACGATAAATCAATACAGTAGGAATCATGTCAGTGATAAATGCTAAGGAGGAAAAGTACCAGTGAAGGATGGGTACTAATGTGCAGAGAGGTGAGATAGATAGGGGTGGTCAAGGAAGGCCCCTTAAGAAGGCAACTTTGAAGTAAATGCCTGAAGGAGTAAGTGGGGGAATAAGCCATAAATGTGGACACCTGGGGAGAAAAAATTCTAGACAGAGGGGTAGAAGTCTGTTGAAGGAGCATGTCTGGCATGTTCAAGGCATTAGAAGAGGCCCGTGTAGCTTCACAGGAGAGAGTGAGCGGGGGAGAGAAATGGGAGATGAGATTAGAGAAGCATGTGGTGGTTGGGGGAGCATATCACTCAGGACCTCCAAGACCATTTTAAGTCTTTGTCTTTTACTCTGAGGTAGACAGGAAGCCACTAGGTGGTTTTGAACAGCAGAATGATATGATCTGACTTGCATACTTAAAAAAAAAAATCACTCTGCTGAATTTAGAGATTAGACAGAAAGGGCAAAGGGTAAAAGCAGCAAACATAATGATTCAGGTGAGAGATCATGGTGCTTTTGATCAAGGTGGTGACAGTAGGGGTGGAGAGAAGTGTTTGAACTTGGACATATTTTAAAGGTAGAGCCAATAGCATTTATTCAGTGTGGGGTGTGAGAGGGAAAGGAGAAGCAAGAATGAGCCTTGGAGTTTTTTGTTTTTTTAATAAATCCTCACCCGAGGATATTTTTTCCATTTCTTTTCAGAGAGAGCGGAAGGGGGAGAGAGAGAAACATTGATGTGAGAGACACTTCGATTGGTTGCCTCCTGCACGTGCCCTGACCGGGGCCGGGGATCGAGCCTGTGACTGAGGTACGTGCCCTTGACCAGAGTCAAACCTGAAACTCTTCAGTCCGTGGGCTCACACTCTGACCACTGAGCCAAACCGGCTGGGGCGAGCCTTAGAGCTTTGACCTCAGCCACTCGATGGAAGGAGTTGTCATTAGCTGAGGAACAGGTTTTGAGGGAAGGGGTGTGAGTTGAGGAATATCAGATTCAGTTTTGTGAATAGACAAAGAGGGTCTGAGGTTCAAGGATGAGGTTTCTCCTGGACACACCCCACTGGGATTGTCCACAAATAGGTGGTATTTAAAGCCATGAGACAGGGTGAGATAACCAAGAGAAGAGGTGTCAGGCCTGAGCTATGGGACACTGATGGTTAGAGACTGAGGAGGGGAGAAGGAGCAGCCTGAGAGGCAGGAGGAAAAGCAGGCAGGTGTGTTCTGGAGGGCAAGGGAAGAAAGCATTTCAAGGAAGAAAGGTAGGTGATCAGTGTGTCAGATGCTGTCATGTAAGAGGACAGACTTCACCATTGTGTCTAATAACGTAGCGGTCTGGTCTCTAGAGATCTCGGTCAGAGCAGTGTCAGCATTGTATTCCTTTTGTTCTAGATAACATTTCAGAGGGTTCCACTGCTGTTCCCCAAGGAAGATGGAAGTGTAATGCCTGTATGGAATAGTCCAGAAAAAACTAGTCACTTTAAACTTTTTTGGACTGGATATATCTTATAAATAACGCAAATTCTTTTTTTGAGGGGGGCAAAAAATTATTTCACTCTGGCTATGAAAAATTAATGTCACTTAGCTGTAGCTACGTTTAATTCTCATTCTTAGAGTAATATTGTGAGTTAATAACCATGTTTTAAAGCTGAACAACTCTTCAAGATAGGAGGTTAGGAGGAGAGCTCAGATGTAAATAGGATGGAGGAAGGTATTAATGATGTTAAATAGAATAGGAATTTTATATGTTTTTACAGCAGCAGTTCTCAAGTGTGGTCCTCAGACCCTGGTGGCCCCTTGAGACTCTTAGGGTTTTGCAAGATCAAAGCTATTTTTACAATAACTTTGTTTTCCTTTTTCACTATGGTCATATTTGCACCAATGATGTAAAAAACGAAGGTGACTAAAGCTACTGGTGCCATAGCTTGAATCAGGGCAGTGCTGCCACTCTGTGCTGTTGTCATTGTGTTCTTCACCACAGCACATGCAATAAAAAGAAGAGAGAAAGCCTATTTCACTTAAAGAATGTGTTTGATGAAGCAGTACAAATTAATTTTATTAAGTCTTGACTCTTGAGCACATATCTCTTTAATACTCTGTGTGATGAAATGGGACGTGCCTGGAGCACGTCTGCTGCATCCTGAGGTATGCAGGTTGTGTTGAGAAAAAGCACTTGTGTGATTGTTTGAATTGAGAGCTGAATTAGTTTTTTCATGAAATACCATTTTTTACTTAAACTAACAGACCAACTGAAGTTACTAGATATGAGTATTTGGCAGTGTTTTATTGAAAATGAATGAAGTGAGCCTGTCACATCAAGGAAAACAACTGACAGTATCTGTTGCCAATGATAAAATATGAGTTTTTAAGTGAAAATTAGAATTTTGGAATACTTACATCTACCACCAAGAGCTGACAGCTTCCCAGTACTTAAAGGCTTGTCTGATAGGATCACTGGTGACATTCACAAATGTGATTTTTTTGATATTGTATAATGAAATGAATACAGTTTGATATTGTATAATGACATTTGAAATATCTGCATAACTCAGTGAACCAGCATTTTCTAAGTGACAGTTTACAATGTTGCAAAATCATATATTGAGTAAAAAGATCGATTCAAAGTACAAGATAGACTTCTAGCCAAGATGGAATGACAGGGATACCTTATGACTAATGACATCAAGTATCTTTTCATGTGCTTATTGGCCATTTGTATGTATATCTTCTTTGGATAACTCTTTATTTAGATCTTTTGTCCATGAAACAAATTAAATGATGATGATTTTTTATTATTGAACTGTGACTTTCTTTTTGGAGATGTTATATTAGGCTCTCCCTCCTCCAGACTTTGATATAATAGTGGTTTTCTTAGGCTATTCAAGACCTATTCAGGTTCATTAGTCATTATTTTTCAGACACACACTACTCTGCTGGAAATAGCATGGTCACAGTTCCTTTGAGGCTTATATTTTCTTCCTTCTGTCTCTTTAAACTCAGATATTAAAATTGGTCCAGTTCCCAAGTCTCTTATCAGATATTCTCTAAACCTACTTCTGTGTTTGTCTTGCAGTTTCCTGGTGATGACATGGCATCTGCCAGCTCCAGCCGGGCAGGAGTGGCCCTGCCTTTTGAGAAGTCTCAGCTTACTTTGAAAGGTGAGTGGCACTGTGTGAAGTGGTAGTCATTTGAGGTCCAGCCCAGTCTGTGGGGAAGAGGTAGAATTATACCACACCTTGGTCTGGAGAGCCAAATTCTGTGAAATGGCATATGAGTGTAACTGTTCATTCTCATCGGGTTGTCACATTATAGCTGGAATTCTTTTTTGTTTTTTTTAAAAAGATTTTTTAAATTGATTTTTAGAGACAGAGAAAGGGAGAGGGAGAGTGAGAAACATCAATGTGAAAGTGAGGCATTGATTGGCTGCCTCTTGCATGCCCCCACCAGGGATTGAGCTGTGCAACTTGGGCCTTTGCCCTGACCTGGCATTGAACCAGCAACCATGGGACGATGCCCAGCCAACTGAGCCACACTGGCCAGGACTGTAGCTGGAATTTTTTGGCAAAAAATATCTAAAATGGTGATTTCTTCATGCCCTAGGGCTCTTTTCTATCTACAGTCATTCCCTAGGTGATCTCATGCAACCTCCTAGCTTTAAATGCCACCATTATAAAATCATTGCCACATTTGTATCTCTAGTTTGACTTTTCCTGTGAACTCCAATAGCCCACTTGTTTATCTCCACTTGAATGTTTAGTAATCACCTAACAATGTGACATGTATGGAACTAAGCTCTGGATTTCCCCCCACATATCCTGTGTTCAGCTAGTCAGCAAATCTGGTTGTATCGATCTTCAAAATGCATCCAGCCTTCAGCCACTTCTCACCATCCCCACTGTCCCACAGGCTGCTACCATCTCAGCCCTGGGTTAAAGCCTTCCTGCTTCTGCCCTTTGCTCTCTTTCATTCTGTTGGTCACACAGCAGCTAGTGCTCTCGCTAAAATGTAAGCTAGCTATTGTCAGTCCTTTTCTCAAACACAAGGGCTTTCCATCTCACTTAGAGTAGAAGCAGTAGATCCCACATGATATCCCCCACACACCCCAGTTTCTCATCTCCTGTTACTCTTCCACAGTTACTCATCTCTAGCCTCATGGCCTCTTTGCTATTCATTGATTACCAGGCACATTCCTACATCTGGGCCTGTGCACCTGAAATCTGTATAATTTTGGTAACTGGTGTCAACGCAATAAATTCAATAAAAAGGAAAAAAGGTCACCCTGGTCATCCTGATCTCCCCATCTAAAGCCTCCCCTACCCCCACCCCCAACTTCCTTGCTTCTAGTCCCTTCCCTGCTTTGTAGTTTTTTTCTCAGCCCTTGTTGCTATTTAACGCAATACGTACTTTTATGTACTTCATTTATTGACTGTCTCCTTCAATAGAATGTAAGCACCGTGATAACAGGGCTTTTTGTCTGTTTGTTTACTTTTGATACCTCCATGACTAGAAGAATTACCATATATTACGCCCTCAGTAAAAATTGCCCGCATGAAAGACTTGCTTCAGAAGCTTTAGCTCTATAGCAGAGTCACGGACTGAGAGATGTGGGGGATGCTGGATCAGCACTCCGTATCTGAGCTCAGGCTGCTCCACATGGTCATCCCAAGGCAAACTTGTGTCTCTTGTCAATGTTTTTCATTATTATTTTTGAAATATAAATGCTACTCATTTACTTAATGTATTCACATACTTCATCATCTTTATTTCCTTCAGCCCTTCAGTGGCCCTACTTGGAGGAAACCAGCATTATCCCTTTCTTTTTGTGTCCCTTCCAAGATCCATCAGAGGGGATGAATTTTTGTAATTTTGAGAGCTAGGTGACCTTCCTTGGGAGGAATACTCTTCTAGCAGCATATGAGTGTGCCTCTTTCCCCCTATCTTTACCAACACAGTGTGTTGTCAGACTTTTCTCTTTGCCAGCCTGAAAGGTAAAAAGTTGTTTTCTCAACATAGTTTTATTGTGGGTTCCTTTACTGATAGCGATGTATAGCATCTTATCATACATTTAGGGGAAATTTGTATTTTCTTTTCTGTGGATTGCCTGTTCATTGTCTTTGCCTGTTATTGAGTTATTGATTTTTAAAAAATAGTCATGTTACATTTTAATTATTTTTCTTGGCATTCATTGCTGCACTGCTCCAGCACTCTTGGGGAAGAAGAGGATTATGGTGAACTGATAGGGTTTTGAATTTGGGACTATAGCCTTTACTGCCTTACCTGAAAATTAACTATCCTCCGTTAAACAGAATCCTGCCCATGGAACCTGGTGACATCCTGAGGTCCCTATTTTGGGCCCATATTATTGAGGAACATCCACTGACTTCTAACAGAATTCCCCATTGCCTTTCTTCAATGTGAAGTTCTTTACTAGTGTGGAAAGAGCTAGCTTGATAATATAGGTGCTTCTCATTATATATGCATTTAATCTATAGAGATTTGATACTCCCATCCAGGAAAATGGTGGGGGAGAAAGAGAAGGAAACACACAACAATTTAAATAGTGTGGGTGCGTCTTCCTCCTCTGCATATAGTGTGGGTGGGTCTTCCTCCCCTGCATATACTGTGGGTGGGTCTTCCTCCCTTACATATACTGTGGGTGGGTCTTCCTCCCTTACATATACTGTGGGTGGGTCTTTTTTCCCTGCATATAGTATGGGTGGGTCTTCCTTCCCTGCATATACTGTGGGTGGGTCTTCCTCCTCTGCATATACTGTGGGTGGGTCTTCCTCCCCTGCATATAGTGTGGGTGGGTCTTCCTTCCCTGCATATAGTATGGGTGGGTCTTCCTCTCCTGCATATAGTGTGGGTGGGTCTTCCTCCTCTGCATATACTGTGGGTGGGTCTTCCTCCTATGCATTTCATTGATAGAGCCTACAGTGTAATTTTGGAGATGTTGCTCTGCTGTTCCCTCTCTTTGTCTCTGTACCCTTGTGCTTCTTCATAGTGTAATCTTTGAGTTTTGAGCTATACTTTTTGAATACATCAAGGCCCTTAAACATAGGCAACTATTTTATCTGATATTTAACTTTAGAAACACTGAAAAACAAAGCACCGCAAAGCAAAAAACTCTTTGAAACTTATTGAAAGATAAAATGCCAGGTTAGATTCTGGTGCCTTCCTAAGAGCTTTTCAAGGGTTTAATTTTGGCCATATGTGATTTTTGCCTTATTTGTTGACCTTAAAAGCTAAATTCTATGTGAAGATGTGATTCCATGTAGAAGAGACTGGCATTTATATTTCATTCAGTAAGTAAACTTTGTAGATAAACTTGCTTGTATTTTGATGCCTTTATTTTGGCTTGTCTTTTAGAAAAAGAAGCATTCAACATATCACCCTGCTGCTTAATTATAAATTAGAGGGGAAAATGTTTCTTTAAGTAGAAAGACCTGGCAGACCCCACATTAACCAAGGGATCAAACTTAGCATCCCCAATAGGACACCCTGGTGTGTGCATAAGTATACAATGTAACCTATGCAGTATTCTTGACAAAAATGTTCAATGTGCATCTAATCATGAGGGAAACAATCAGAAAAATGCAGAATTTGGCATATTCTAGATGACAGCTGGTGAAAGTCTTTAAAAATCATTGTCACAGAAAAAGAAGGGATAGCGTTCTAACTTTGAAAAGGTTAAGGAGACAGCAACCAAATGCAATGTGCTCATCTTGATTGGATCCTGGATGGGGGAAAAATGGTATAAAAATATGTTTGGAACAATTGAGGAAATTTGGATATGGAATGAATATTGGAATTGATAGGGGGAATAACTGAATTTTTTTAGGTATAATGGTGGTGTGGTTAGGTGAAAGTAATGTCTTTATTTTCAGGAGTTGCATTCTGAAAGTATTTAGGGCTGCATTCTCATGATGTCTACAATTTACTTTAAATAGTTTATCAGAAAAAAAGTATGTGGATATAGAGATACACACACAAATGTAGACATAAATATCATGTATTTATATTCTGTGAGGTCCAATAGGGTAGCTACTATAGCCCCCTGGAAACTTACATTAAATGTAAGTTAATTAAATTAAATTTACAATTCAAGTCCTCAGTTGCACCAGCCACATTTCAAGTGCTTAATAGCCACTTGTAGCATATGGCAATGCATTGGATAGCGCTGGTGTAGAACATTTTCATGATCACAGAAGTTCTCTTGAATAGCACTCATATAAACACGCACATAGAGGGAAAAAAGCAAGTGTGGCAGAATGATAACTGGTGAAGAGCATACAATTATTCTATTCTTTCAACTTTTCTATAGATTGGGATCTTCAAAATAAGACTAACTAACTGCAACATGTGATCCTAGATTGGACTAGAAAAAAACTCCCTTTTCTCTTTTGCTATAACGGGCTTTGACAGGACAATTGGCAAAATTTGAACAAGGTCTGTCCATTAGATAATAGTATTAAAGAATGCTGAATTTGCCAGTGTTGATATTATGCTATGGTTATATTAGAAAGTGTCTTTGTTTTTAGAAACACACACTGAAGTATTTAGGAGTAAAGGACACAGCATCTACAACTCATCCGCAGAGCTTCAGGGAGAAATGTGTGTGTGTGTAGAGAAAGTCAGGGGAGAGACAGAAAATAATAAAGCAAACAGAGTAAAAAGTTAATATTTGGTGACCGGGTGAGAGGTTTATAAAAATTCTTTATATTGTTCTTGTAACCTTTCTAAAAACTCTGCTGAAATTATGTAAAAATTAAAAAAAAAAAAAAAGGAAAAGGTAGGGAAAACCCATGGGAAAAAGCTAGAGGACAAAAGAGGGAAACATCACGGCAGGGTTCAAAGAACTGGCCTGGGAGCCGGGAGCCGGGAGCCTTGAATTTAGGCTTAGCTCTGGCTTTGACTAGCTCTAGGATTTTCAATGTGGTATTTCACCTCCCTGGATCTTAGTTTGCCAAATTATTAAGTAAGAGGTTTGAACTGTCCTCTTCAAAGAAACTGTCCAGTTCAAAATTATAGGACTCTAATTATAATTAGTCCCTATTTATTGACTTATTTTTATTTTTAGTTAAGGGCCTGCATGCATAGCTTCTCTTACACCACCAGGTGGCCTCAGTTAACCTTGGTCTATGTGTAAAGTATTTCATTTTTCTACTCTGGGCCCCTACTTTTTTTTTCATTGTACTATCCCTTGTTGCTCTGGAATCTTAGCCATAACTTTTGATATTGTTGTTCTTTGACTTTCTCTCTGCTCTTTTGGGCCTGAAGAAGAGAGCTTTTGCTAAAAAAGATGTAGAAGTGGNCAACTTTTGATATTGTTGTTCTTTGACTTTCTCTCTGCTCTTCTTTTGGGCCTGAAGAAGAGAGCTTTTGCTAAAAAAGATGTAGAAGTGGGTTTGTCCTTTGCCAGATTGTGGCCCCTTACAGGTCTGCCACATCTCAGAAGGGCCTGGGGGGGAGAGGTTTGCTTACTCTTGACAGAGGGGAGCTCAGAGTAGGACAGTCTTGCCATCATGGGTAAGGAATGTCTATAACATACTCTGATTTGGGGCATAGGATTGAAGACATCTAGATGTGTTTCATCCTAACAACCTGGAGTTTCCACCGTAGCTGATATGTGCTCTAAGAAGAGCTTGTCTAGCTTTGGGCAGATACTTGCTTTGCTTGTGCTCTCTGAGTCCCTGGCTTGCTGGTGCCAAGCGAACATCAGAAACACTGCCACATGAAGAGGAAATGCAAATGGTTAACAAGCACATGGAAAAAATATTCAGTCTCACTGGTAATTTAAGGAAAGCATTAGAACAAATAAGCAAAGGCTGGTAATGGCACACACAGCATGGTGTAATCGGGCTGCCCAGTTGCACATCCTGGCTCAAAGCTCCCTGGCTCTGTAGCCTGGGGCAGTGACCTAGCTTCCTCAAGCCTGTTTCCTCCTGGGTGAAATGGGGGTGATGATATATTCCCTGCCTCATGGGTTTGTTGTGAGGATTCTGTTAGAAAATGTATGCATAGCATAGTATCTGTAAAAAGTACTCAGTAAATTTTAGCTATTATCTTTACACCAATTTTAAAATTTTGTTTACATGATATTTGCAAAGAATGAAAAAACATTGTATTCAGTGTTATGCAGTGTTTGGTGAAATGGAGATATTCCTCTAGCACTCACAGGCATCTACATAGGTTTACCCTTTTTGGAAAGGAATTAAGCTGTTTTAAGAACTTTAAAAATGTTTATATCCTTTGCAGGAATACTCAGAAATGCAAGAAAATACTGTATATACATTTTTTCAGAGCAAAAAATTGGAAGTAATTTATTCATCCATGAAAGAACAGTTATCTAAATTATGGCATATTGTTATAATGGGCTTATATTACAGCCTTTTAAAATGGATTTTGAGAAGAGAAGAATTTTCAGAGAATTAGGGACATAAAGGATGAAAGTCTAGAAAGTGTGAATTTACCAACATCTTGTTTTTAGGTTAGGAGTGATTTTTGTTTCTTATGCTTTGTATTTTTTTTGTGTCCTCACATTTTAAAAAATAAGTCTTCTTAGAATCAGGAAAAAACAAATTTTATTTTTTGAAAGAAGCAGCAAACAAGAGTGAGACCAGCTGCCACATGGGGGCAGCTGGGAGCCCTCTGTCTCATCCTTGACTTTTTCTTTCTTTCTCATCCAGTGGTGTCAGCAAAGCCCAAGGTGCATAATCGCCAACCTCGAATTAACTCATTTGTGGAGGTGGCAGTGGATGGGCTCCCCAGTGAGACCAAGAAGACCGGGAAGCGAATCGGGAGCTCTGAGCTTCTCTGGAATGAGATCATCATTTTGTAAGAGAAAGTCCCTTCTCTTTGAATGCAGCAACATGGGGAAAGAGAAGGCGCCCCAAGGGGGTTGTGGTGGGAGATCCAGGTGTCCCGTGGAGCCTCTGACTCTTCTGCCTTTGGTACCCGAGGTGCCTCTCTTTAAGTGTTTCCACACCACTGAGCTCATAAGTGTTCATTATTAGCTAGATGGTTACAGGGTCAGCCGTGGGGGGGGGAAGAGGTTATGTGAGTGCCTTCCTGTTTGGGGTCCCTCCCCCCCAGTTGTCAGCGATACCTGTTTTCTTCTAAGGCATTAAGAGTGGCTGACCTGCTTGGATGTGATGAATCAAGTATTTGTTTTCCAGGAATGTCACGGCCCAGAGTCATTTAGATTTGAAGGTCTGGAGCTGCCATACCTTAAGAAATGAACTGCTAGGCACCGCCTCTGTCAACCTCTCCAATGTCCTGAAGAACAATGGGGGCAAAAGTACGTATGGCTGATGTGATTCATTTACTCGAGTGGGGGGAAGCATTTGCAGGCATGGATTTCTCTCAACATGGCCAGTAAAGCTGGTGATGTCGTTTCCTCCAGGACCAGGGGCTGCAGTGACTTGCTCCCCATGGATGCTGTCCGTGGAGTTTTAGGAAGGCTGAATGCTTCTTTCTGCAGAATTCAGCCCCCTTTTCCAGGGGCCATAGTGGTGGGATGCAGCTCTGTGTCCCCTTGATCCTTCAGAAGGATCAGTGTTTTTCCTCTGCCTCTGGCCCTCTTTTCCCCAGCCAGGAGATGTGGGACATGTAAAATCAAACTGTCCAATACCTCCGGTCTACACCGTTGCTTTCCTAGTCTGAGTCCTGGAACAGAACAAAGCCACTGCATGTGTGGGTGTGTGCGTGTTGGTGTGGGATGTTGTTACAAATAGTGCCCTGTGCTTAGCAGGCGCTCAATAAACATTTATTGGATGTTAGACTGTGATGGAAGCTCTATCATAATTATTCAGGGTACCTCTGCTGCATGGAAATCTAAACCCTAACATCTATTTATTGTTGTTTGTGGTTAGTGGCATAACCGTGGCTGTGGTATCTGAACCCTCCCTCATAAAAGCCTCTATTCAGAGCAGTACCATATGTGGTGAGGGAATGGCACAGAAAGAAAGGCTCCTTTTTCTCTTGAAGCTGCTGTCTAGAAAATATTTTCTGAAAGTGGATTTAGCTTAAGAGAGGTGTGGGGGTGGGGAGTGTTGAGTCCCAGGGAGAGTGCTGCACTGATTCCAGTCCTTTTTTCTGAGCCTGCCCTTTCTGATGGGCCACTCCGGTGGGGTTGGAGGCTCCCCTGGGTCTTTCTTCCCTGTTGGGCACACAGAGATGTGGTGAACCCACCTTGGCTGTGGGAAATGCTTAAAACCAGGCATATGTCTCTATTTTAATTCTTCAGGGAACTCCCTGATGCTCTGTTTTATGAGTTGGTTTTTATTTTCCCAAACTTTAGGCTGCCTTTTATGATTTGATTCTCAAGGTGTATTATATGTATTATGTCATTTGGAAATATAATTGTGGGCAACCAACACGCATGTCCTTTTCTTTCCTTCTTCATTTGTCCAGTCTACATCCTTTTGCTTTCGATTATAAAAGTAATTGTAGAAAACCTAGGAATTACAGAAAGGCACACAGGCACACAAAGAAAATAAAATTCTCCCGGAAGCACAGCACCTAGTGATAATTATTAACATTTTGATACATATCTTCCTGAGCTTTTCCTGTGTGCAAATATATATTAATATTTAAGATGGCAGTGAAACAAAATTGTGATCATAGACGAACATAATATTTTGCAGCATGTCTTTTTCTCTTGAAAATGTATCAAGTATCTTTATATATTTATTTCTAATTATTATAAAATATACATAACGTCGAGTTTACCATCTTAACCATTCTTAAGTGTACAGTTCGGTGGCATTAAGTACATTCACATTGTCGTGCCGCCATCACCACCATCCATCTCCAGAACTTTTTCTTCTTCCCAAACTCAAACTCTGTACCCATTAAACACCAACTTCCCTTTTCCTCCCTTTTCTCAACACCCCATTATTCTGTGTTCTGTCTCTATGACTCTGACTACTCTAGGTACCTCATATAAGTGGAATCTTACAGTATTTGCTTTTTGTGACAGGCTTATTATACTTAGCATAAGGTCCTCAAGGCTCAGTGATATTGTAGCATGTATCAGAATCTCCTTTTTAAAGCCTGAGTAATATTCCATTGTATGAATATACCACATTTTGTTTATGCACCCGTTCAAGGACACATACTCAGAAGTAGAATTACTGGATCATGTGTTATTTTTACTTTTAAGTTTTTGAGGAACCACTATACTTTTTTCCATAGCCGCTGAACCATAAAATATATCAAAATAGCTTTAATTTTTCTTCCAAAATTCAATTTTTCATGACTGCCTGGTAATAGTCCATCAGATGGCTGTGTAAAAAATTGAACATTTGGATAGATTTCAGTATTTCACACATCACAAATAATGCTATGATAGACTTGAAAGTTTTAAAATCTTTGTGCCCATTTAAAATTTGCTTGAGATAAATGAGTGAACATGAACTTACTGGGTTTAAACATTTTTCATGGTTTTTGACACATATTCCAAGATTACCCTCCAGAAATGTTCTACCAATTAAACCCTTACAATAGCAGTAGCTGAGATGGCTGGTTTCTATTGCACCTTGGTGTTTGTTGGATTCATTTGTAAGAAAAAGATTTTTTTGCCTATTTGATAATTAACATTATGCCAGATTTGCTCCATCCCTTTATTTTCTGGCTGTAGTGTTTTAAAGTAAATTCTAGATGGCTCAGCATTTTATCCTAGATTCTTCAGCATGCATCTCTTAAAAGCAGTACATTTTCTTACATAATTACCATACCATTATCGCACCTATCATTTTAACATGAATTCCTTATTATTACTTATCATCCAGTTTATATTCAATTTTATGATTTGTCTCAAAGTGTTGTTTAAAAACTGGTTTGCTTGAATCTGGATTTGGGCCAGGTGCTCTTGTTGCATTTGGTTATTTCTATGAAGTACTCCCACCTTCACTCTACCTTTTCTGTGATTTATTGAAGGCAATTCAATGTTTTAAAGTGTGTGTATTGCCCATCCTTTGCTCATTTTTATATTGAAGTGTTCAGTTTTCACTTTTAGTTTTAAAAGAGCTCTTCATATGTGTTTAAAAATTTTTTTTAATTGATTCTTAGAGAGAGGAAGGGAGAGAGAGACAGAGAAACATTGATTGTTGTTTCCTTATGCATTCATTGGCTGATTCTTATATGGGTCCTGACTGGGGATCGAACCCACAACCTTGGCTTATCAGGACGATGCTCTAACCAACTGAGCTACCTGAGCTCTTTATATGTTAAGGCCATCATTCTTTGTCTTATAATTTGTAAACATTTTTCCAGATTTTCATTTTCATTTTATTTTTTAATTTTTAAAAATATATCTTTATTGATTTCAGAGAAAGGAAAGGAGGGGGAGAGAGAGAGAGATAGAAACATCAATGATGAGAGAGTCATTGATCGGTTGCCTAGCCCGCGACCCGGGCATGTGCCCTGACCGGGAATTGAACCCTGATCGCCTGGATCCTAGGTCCATGCTCAACCACTGAGTCCTGCCCCGCCGGGCTTCATTTGCATTTTAGTTTTGTGGGTTTTCTTTTTCTTTTTCCAAAGAGGTGTTTTAAAGTTTTTGTAGTAAAATCTGTCACCCTTTGTGTTTTCAGCCTGTTCTTTCATTCTTTGAAACGCTTTCCCCATTCTGAGCTCAGGTACATAGTCATCGCTATTTTTTCCTAGTTCATTGTGATTTTAGTTTGTCACGTTTTATTCTTCATCCAAACAAATTTATTTTTGTGCGCAGTGTAAGTAGGGAGTTGTTTAAGTTTCCCAAATAGTTAGCCGATGGCTTTAACCCTGCTTACTGAGCCACCCCTCTCTTTCCCCATTGATTTGATATACTACCTTCAGCATATATTAAAAACATATGTATACTTGGGCCTGTTTAGGGACTTGCCATTTCATTTGTTGTTTTAAAGTCACTCTGTCTTAGTTATTGTAACATTATAATATGTTTTAATATCTTATAGTTAAAGTCTCCTTATTTTTTTTAAAAAAAATTGTTTTTATTGATTTGAGAGAGAGAAAGAGAGAAAGAAACATCAATGTGAGAGAGAAACATCAACTGGCTGCCTCCCGACCAGGGAACGAACCCGAAACCCAGGTATATGCCCTGGCCAGGGATCGAACTGGCTACCTTAAATTATTTTGTCAAGTTTTTCCCTCTTTCTACTTTCCTCCCCTCAAATCCCTTGAGATTCTATTAGAATCCTATCATTTGTAAAGTTCTTTTATGGAGAATTTCCATACCCATTCTTTTTACTCAGGAACGTGGATGTCTCTAAATTCATTAGGATCATTTTGAAGTTATCTTTAGGTAGACTCTTTTAATTTTAAAAATGATTTAGCTATTATTTTTAGTGGTATCTTTTCCTATAGTGTCTTCTAATCTAGTGTTTTTAGTATTGACTGTTAGTTTCTGTATTTTCTTTTATCTGTAAGTTGCTGAATTTTTAGTATAGGTTTAAATAGTTTCTTTTGACTTTCCTTGGGAGACATATATGTGGTTTCTAAGACTGATAATTTTGCTCATCTTATTAGGTAATTATGTCTTTTTCTTGTGAGTTGCTTTGCACACACTTTCCTGCTTTAGTGGTGCTGGAGCGGGTGTCCTGCCCTAATAACTATGCTGCTTGTGACTCTCCTCTGGGTGTAAGGTTAGGTGTTAGTAACCTGTCTTCTTGGTTTATTAATTGTTGTTTTTCTTTTAAAAATCAGGAATGGAGTTGAATTTTTAGCAAATAATCTTTTAAGCAACAATTTGGATAATTATATTATTTTTCTTCCTTCAGCTTATTATATTAATTTCCTAATAGTAACAATCTTAGAATTTCTAGAATGTACTTAATTGCTCATGCTAGATTATTTCTTGAAAGTTTTGTTAGAATTGCTTGTTAATATTTTATTTAGGGGATTTCCATCTATATTCATAAGTGGCGTTTGTCTGTAGTTTTGTACTATTTTTGTCAGCTTTGGAATTGAGGTTAAGCTAATTTTATACAGTAAGTTGAAGTGCTTTCCAACTTCGGGAACAGACTGTATAACGTGGGAATTATCTGTTCCATGAGTACAGGAAAGAGCTCACCCATAAAACCAATAGGGTCTGGCAGCTTTCTTTGAAATAATTCTTTGATGACTTTTTCAGTATTTTTCCCCATAATGATTGGTTTGTTCAACATTTCTGATTCATCTTGCATCAATTTTGTTAATTCATATATCCTGAGAAATTATTTCATGAGATTTTCAAATTTATTAATATAAAGATTTTAAATAGCATTCTCATTTTTAAAAATGTTTCTAATTTTTCTC